AAATAAATCATATATATATATATATTGGTCTCTGCCGGTCTCTGTCGGTCTCTGCCGAGCGGTGGAGGCTGTGTGCTGTTTTTCAATCGCCCAAACAGGACGAGACCAGCTGTCCAATTGCTGACAAGAAAATCAAAGGGTAGGAATGGGAATGTATCCAATCAGCGTCGACGTTGTTTCAGAACGTTTCAGAAGCATGATGGGCGATAGAGCTACCGCCAAGGCTTTCGTTGGTGTTCGGTAGAACTCGGAGAGTCTCGACTCCAGCACGTTTTTGGTCGTGACTCGTGACGCACATGGAGCAGACGCAGACATGGACGCCAGTGAGCCTACAACCAGGATACCGGATCTCAGCAGCCACTGAATTCAGTTCGGTCTCTTCTCCAGTATCCGCTCGAGAGGAGAACTATGGTGGAAAAACTTAATGTCAAAGAGCTTGGACCAGATCAGCCCGACGTAAAGATAAGCCAGCAGGACAAGGAGAGAGGTAAACTGTACACACGACGCTTCTCCCAAAATTGGTACACCAGGAAGCAGTGGCTAGCTGGATGCAATCACGCTAATGCGTTATTTTGCTTTCTGTGTTTGTTATTCAAAACGGCTGGGATCCACAGAAGGTGGATGTGGAACTTGTGTCTCATTGGGGACTCCATTCATTCTCTGACTGAGGAATGCAGCGCATCAGTGCAGCAGCCAACAAAGAAACGGAGGACGTTTGGACAGGGAGAACAGCAGCTGGGTGCAGAGGTAAGCTGTACATTACATTTCTGTAAACAAGACAATCAGAATCAGAAATCCTTGGTTGTCCCACAAACCGGGACATTTGTTTAATAACATGTACATTGTTTAATGTGCAATAACTGTAAAAACTAATTTCAACACACATACCTATTATACATATTTAATCATGTAAATGTGTATTTCAAGTAAATTTGTACATACATCAATCTGATTCCATTTTACTTGTTACACTTCTGCTGCAGCAAACAAATTTCCCAGCTTTTGGGACAATAAAACATTTCTGATTTGTCCCAAAAAGTGGGAAATATGACATTTGTAAGAGGATACTGATGACATTATTTCCTATGAAAGTGTTTCCACTTTCCATAAGTCCTAACAGTGTACATTTCTGGCATTTTGTCTAAGTAGTGATTACTACCATTACTGTAACAGTGACCTGCTCATAATTTTTCGTGTTCACTCAAATGTTAAAATTAAACAAAATGTTTTTGTTACTTGCCTCTTGCATTGCCTATTTACCATTTATGGTCATGTTATTTTATGTGCAATTTAATGCAGTATTTTTCAACCTTGGTCCGCAAGGCAGTTTGCCAATAGTCAGACACACCTGGATTAATCAGTTTGTCCAATAATGTAAGACAGGAAATAAAAGAGCTGTGCTTAATTCAGGAAATAGTGAAGTTGTGCACAAAGCTCAGAAAGCACAAGTTTGTTTAAAAAAAAAATAGCACAGCCCCACCAAAAATATTTTTCACCAGCCACCACTGACCTGTAGATAGTTCCAATAGGACCCATCCAGTCTGAAATCCCTCGAGGTGAAGGCCGAAAGCTGGAATGCTTATTTGCGTCTAAGGTTGATGTTTGCTTGGCTCTTAGAAGAGCTGGTTGTCTGGTATCAGCCGCAGTGTTGCAGAGAGGCTTTGACTTAAGGTCAACGGAGAAGATGGTTTCAAAAATGCTTCTTTCCGGAATTGGCCAGTTCGAGGGTCAGCGAGAAACTGAATTAATCGGGAAGTAAGTCTTGTTTTGTTAAACTATTTTAGTATGATTTCTGGCCAAGTTTGGCCAATCAGAATTCAACATGTTTCTGAGTATTTACCAACATCCCACAGAAAGCCACACCCACCTCAGATACACATATGTTTTTAACACTGTGAATGAAAATGATCTAAACCTTATGTGAGGTGCATTTTAACATAATGAGTATCTTATTGTAATGTGTATGAGTGTAAGCAATGATTAACTTGATAAATCAAACACATACTGGTTTGTGATATAAATTGATCATTGTAAGAACAGTGTTAATTTCAAATTAATTGATTTAAGCACAGGTTATTCAAAGATTTGATTTAAACATCTTGTTCATTCATCACACATGATTATTGTAAACTTATGAGTTGTAAAATTCATGGAGTCTTCCCTTATTCAGAGTGAAGAATGTTGACTTCTGGCATTCATGCAGAGTGTAGGACCTTGGGAGAGGACGTTTGTCTGGATGTTTTGTCTTCTGTATGTAACCATACACTGAACAGAACCTTCTGGTTCTGGAAGGCCAAATAGAAAGTGGATTTATTTCTGTAGATGAACGGATATTATGTTGGTCAATATATAGGTGAAGATGGACCCTTTTGGACGTTACAGCTAAAACTATTAGACAGATATGAAAATAGAATGAAAATCAGTCCTTGAATCTGTTTAAACACAGCTGGTGTACTTTTTCATCACAGCTTTGCTGCCCTGGATGAAGTAGCTATGAGCTGTTTTTTTTCCCTCCCGTGTTCTCTAACCTCACATGATTTATAGTTTAGCTCTGGGCATTCAGATTGATCTGATGGCGTGGCCTTCCTCTCAATTTTAGTTTGCAGCTCTGATATTAAAACACTTTCAACATTTGAGGGGGGTATTTTTGACCACTTAAAAACCTGTAGGCAATGACTTACAAAGGTGCATGCTCGTGTTGCAGTTCATGTAAATACATCAATCTTTTCTTAAGTTTTTTCACAGGGTTTCAGCAAAAATGAAAATAATGAAAGAAAAGGTGTACTAGACAGCCATGTTGTATGGTTTAAAGACAGCGTCAACAAGAAAAAGACAGGATTGGAGGTTGCAGAGTTCAAGATGACATTTTCTTTGGGACTGACGATGATGGATAGGATCAGGAATGAGTCCATCAGAGGGACAGCTCATGCTAGATGTTTTGGAGATAAAGTCAGGCTGCGAAGGTTTGGACATGCCCAGAGGAGAGACAACGGGCAAGGAGGATGCTGAGGTTGGAGCCACCAGGAAGGAGGCTATTATGAAGGCTGAAAAGGATATTTATGAATGCGGTGACAAAGCTGGTGATGGTACAGGATGCAGAATATTGAACTAAATGCACAGATGATTTGCTGCAGCAACCCCTGAAGGGAAAACCCCAAAGAGAAAAAGAGGAGAAGCCACACAGTGTCTGGATGTTTGCTGAAGACGTATTTAGAACTTTCAACATGTTTGACATTTTTCTTGCAGCTCTTATTCTCCGACTAGTTGCCAAAATTCAATAAACAAGATTCTAGTGTTTGCTCTTCATTGACCTACCTGTTTGCTTTTGAACCACGAGGAAAACTCTATGACTGCGCAGCACCCAGCAAGGCCACGTCACTTTTACTTGTGACATCCAACTTCAATAACAATGGAGGACAGGGCAGTCGTAAATTATGAGTTTTTGATTTAACTAAACTGGAACTTGATAAAGTGGAAGCGGCAGTGGCTCAGGCGTTTGGAGTTTGCTCTGTAACTGGCAGGTTGCCGGTACAAACTCAGGCTCTGTTCATGTCTGTTGTTATCTTTGAGCATGACACTTCGCCCTCCTTGCCTGCTGGTGGTGGATGGAGGGACCGGTAGTGCCTGTGTACAGCCGCCTTGCTTCTGTCAGTGTGTTCCAAGACAGCTGTGACTACAATGTAGCTCATCACCATCAGTATGCAAATGGGTGTGTGAATGGAAGAATGATTCACAGTAGTGTAATTAGCTTTGGACTCCTCTGACTCAGAAAGGTGCTTTACAAGTGCATGCTGTTTTTAGGATCTGAGACTGTTCAAGGAAGATGACAATAACTGTTAATTAGGTTCTCCTCCAGTGATTTAAATGCTGTTTTAATATTACTGATGCAGAAGACTCTTTCAGTTTCCTCTGTCAATCAATGTACACTTTTGTATGGACTGATCCCAACCCTTTACATCACTTAAGAGACCCTGTCTAATCCATAAAGTGCCTACTCTGAAGAATATAAGGAAATAAATAAAGCTAAAAGTAAACTCAGTCAGTAACTAAAGAGAACTTTCATCATCAGTTTAGACAAGGAGAGAAAACTGATGTAAAACTCGCTTTTTAAGCCACTTTTTATTATTTTCTTCTACCCCCAGGCACAGGTGTCAGGTGCTGGAACACCAAGCATCAGCCACCTGCATCTCATGAAGTAGAACTGACAAAATATGCAATGTTTCTGCTGTCATTGTCAGTGTTTACTAATAATTCAGGGAAGCGTCAAGGTTTTGTGTCTAAGACTGAACAGTTGGCTCAGTGCTGAATACAAAGATCAAATAAACACACTACAGAGAAAAAGATGCATGAAAAGGTTTGCTTTTACCCAAGAAAATCCTTCAGACGCATGACACTTGTTCACTTTATACACAGATGCAGCAGTACAGAAATGCATTCATATTCAAGTGCACCAGGGAATTTACATTTTAACCGTTTACAGAGCAAGATCATCTTTGTTTACGGGTTAAACTGTATATATGAGCAATGGCATTTTGCTTTCATTTTCTCTTCAAAGTCCAAACTCCCTTGCAGAACCTGTCACCTCCAATTATCTTTCTTTATTATTATGTTTTAGTCTCCCCAGAGCCTCGTGCATCTCCCCCTTATGTACCCACAGCCCCATATCCAGTCTAATATTTAGAGAAATGTCAGAAAGAGACACAAAACTGATGAAAATATCTAAGATGGGGGGGGGGGGGGGGGGGGGGGGGGGGGGGGGGGGGGGGGGCTGCAAGTGGACACTTCAAGCAGCACACAAAGTGTGAAGAGAGGCATATGAAACAAAAAGGCAAATACTGACATTAGTGTGTGTGTGTGTGTGTGTGTGTGTGTGTGTGTGTGTGTGTGTGTGTGTGTGTGTGTGTGTGTGTGTGTGTGTAGGTGTGTGCGTGTGTGTGTGTGTGTGTGTGTGTGTGTGTGTGTGTGTGTGTGTGTGTGTGTGTGTGTGTGAGAGAGAGAGGGAGGAGATGGAGTGTGGGAGAATGCATGTGCTGGAAGGAGATTTAAGTGGAGAGGAAGAGTCGGGCACAGGAGAGAGGACTGAGGCGAGAGTGGAAGCCAAAGACTAAGAGAGAAGGAGACAAGAGACAGAGAGGAGCGGAGCGGAGCCGCGAGTCCAGTCGCCTCTTGGATCTCTGAGCACAGCTGTCAGGCTGCTGGCTCAGGCTCACGAGTGGATCCTCCCGCTGCATGACGGAGCGCCTGAGTGTGTTGTGCACACCAGAATTTCTCATGGCCATGTATTCAGTCTGATTTCAGCTCTACTGCTAACACATGAGTGAAGCTTGACCAGCATCGATCTGGACTTGACTCAACACCCATGATCTCCAGCCAACTCTGGCATACCCTCTCATTAAGGTAAGGACACAAAGTGATTGACTGACCACAAACTTATCTTTGACAAAAGGAGTTTTTTTTCCTTCCATAATTTCATCAAACGGGAGCTGATCTAAATTAGTCACAGATCAGATCACTCATCTATCGATCTTCACTGGTTTTGTGTGTTGATAGGCTCACCTAAATCAAGCAATGACCCCCGTGTTAAATCTGTCCTCTTGCTCTTGTACATGATATTATTAGCTGCATGCTCTGCGTTTCTATTGTCTCACTTGAACAGATTGTGGTTTTATTAAAGTTTATCCTCTGATTTTTATTATTCACAGGGTCAAAATAAGTTCATTAAGCTTGGATCTTTTGTCATGGTCATGGCATTCCTCTCACGTCAGTTTACACTCCAGAAAACACACTTTATGGAAGATAGATTACGCAATGTGTGGACATTCAATGTACGTTTTTACTGCTGAGAGAATCTATGTTTCTCTTCAATATGACTTACTTTTCATAGCACGTTTCTCAGTGATTGTACTTGTGGCTGAGACTGCTACAATACAAAGATTCTGCTTACCAAACTGCACATCTTTCTCAGTAATATGCGGTTTAAACATCAGAAGCTCTTTGTCATGTTTGCACTCAAGGTGCATCTTATAAGTGCTTTTGCACAGGTTCCACGTATGCCTGAAGCATTCTGTGTCTAGAGAACACTTATTGCCTCAGAAACACACTGGTTAACTGAAAAGCCATCAAATAGAATTGAAATGAAAAATAAATCTTATTGATTTTGCACAGTTTGAGAGTGACTTCCTTGCACAGCAGCGCAACCAAATAGTAAGCGTTAGTAGCTCAAATGGAATTGTCTTAAGGTATTTTTGTTATCTAAAGGTGAGGTTGGCCGAATTTTTTTATGATTATTTCTGCTGAGGTTTTCATGCAGGCTGAACATGAAAATAGTCTCCTTCACCTATCTCCTGCATTGGCTTCTGATAGAAAATAGACGGTGAAACTCTAGGATATGAAAGTCTTGTCATATCTATGTCACACTGTGAATTTGCATTCATGGCCTTGCCTAGCTTGGCTCGTTATCACCCACCGAAATGTTTTTTAAACATTTTTTGCAGCGAGGAGAGAGAGTGGAGAGTGTCTTGGTGATGGTGACTGTGCAACATGGCTGAATGTGTTCTATTAGCCAATCAGAAGAGAGGTGTGTCCATATTATTAATAATGAGCAATTTTGCTGTTTCAGCCCACCTCTGCACCAATTCAATTCAATTCAATTTTATTTATATAGCGCCAAATCACAACAAGAGTCATCTCAAGGCACTTCACATAATAAACATTCCAATTCAGGTCAGTTCAAAATGTTTCCTATACAAGGAACCCAGCAAATTGCATCAAGTCACTGACCAGCAAACTTCTGCATATCAGAACAGGAGAATCACAGCTTTTTCCATTTGTAACAACTCATAAGGCATTGATTTACACTAGAGAACACTGCAAATGTTTTGAATAAAGTAAACCACACCTTTCATTAAATCATAGGTAAAATACATTTTTATGCACAAATGAAGGCTGCTCGATTATGGCAAAAATGATAATCTCGATTATTGTGACCGAAATTGAGATCTCGATTATTTAAGATGATTTTTCAGTGAATGTTGATTTTATTTGTTTGTTTATTTATTCAATCATAAAATTGCTCAGGGCACAATCAGGGCAAAAATGAAAGAAAAAGAAAGCAACAAGATAATGACAAAGGCAACTCCTGAATCCTAGTATAAAAAGACCAACACACTTGCTCATAGTTTATGACCCAAAGGGCTGAGGTTTAACTCATTTAAGCCTAACCAATACAGGCCCAAATATCCAACCAATGTCTTGCAAATATTGAATTATACAGTGGCATTCATGTCATAAATAAAAAACATATAAACATATATGTTTTAGTGACAGTCACAAAATGTTGCATACTATTTATTTAGTCCTGTCAAGCGGTGCTGTATGAGTGTGTACACTAGCAACGTGCCCTCAGAGAGATTAATTCATATTTATCGGCGTGAGAAACGTGTTTCTTTCTATTTCTAAACTATTTATTCACAAGTCCCATCAGTTAATGTAATGACTGTCCCAGCCACAGCAATCAGAGTTGTGCTGCACCCCCCACCCCCAGCCCGGTCTCACAGCAATCAAAGGCAAGCCGCGCATGTGTGTTTAGCGTGCCACACGTCCACATTATGCCGTTTTTAGCGGCTCATGAGCCTGCAGGTACGGTGTGTGTCACTCAGTCCGGTTAATCCAAAAGGAAGCCGGCTCTGAGAGCTTTATTTATTTATTTTTTTGTGACCAACACATCACTACATCATTCCCTTTCCTAATGTTCGGAAGGGCGGTCCGGAGCGCAGGCGGAGTGTTTTGCTAACCTGCAGGAAATGTCGACAACAGTTTTCCAGAAAGTAGCTAAGGGTTACCATAGATGCTTCTACATTGTTTGCTAGGTACTTTTACAATTTAAAAAGTCAAGAAGGGGGTCTGAAAAGATGTTAGAAATAGCAACTAATTTGCTAAATTGGCAACAATGTGGGAGGAGCGCTTGATTTGCAACTTGGAGCAGCGCAAGAGGGAGGAGAAAATAATCGGCATGTTTTGTTTTCGTAATCGTTCCAAACTCAGATCGTAATTGGGATTAAAATTCGATTAAATGAGCAGCCCTAGCACAAATCTTTAGAAAAATTTCTTTAAATACTTGTGTAATGGTTTTGAGTAAAGACACAGCATGAGCATTAAGTCAAGACTTTTTAACAGACGTGTTTCCTTTTTTGTTTTGTTTTAGAGCGGGTGTGTGCAGGCCATATCCAGTTAAGTCTACCAGACATCTAATTATATCCTGTTACTGATGTCCTGCCAGCTGTAATAATAATGAAACAGACAGGTTCTAATTTCCAACATTAGATATTGAGCTTTTTCATGCCTGTTGTCATTTCTACTGCAGCAAGTCTGTGTCACCCACTGCTGTTCATCAGATTTACTTTGAATCACATGATGGTCAGAACCACTGATTGTGCTGAGCAGCAACATCTCAAAGAAACACACTGATGTCTTTGTAGCATCAGGAAGAAAAAAAAGTAACCAGAAAGTGGGAAATTATAATATGGAAGCTCAAATGAGTGTACCTGCAGAGCTGAAAGGTTGTTTTTATTTCTGCTCAGTGCTACCATTAATAGCATTTTGTAACTGATACATTAGTAAGAACAAACTGTCTTGTTAATTAAAAAAGAAAAGTTAAACACTGATGCAAGTTCTTCACCTGCACTTTTTTGATTAGACTTTTATTAGACCAGTGGTTTATATGCCAGTAAAATCTAAATCAGAAGAATAAACATTTATGCTTTTTTTTTTTACAGCTAAAGGCATTCGTTGACTTTGGTCAACATATATTCAGCCTTTTTAAAGTAATCCTGACATTTGCAGGCGAGATTTGAAGCATCAGTGTTATGCAGAAAGTCATTTGAAGGAAGATAAATAACCTGTACAGGTAAAGTATGCAACAGCACAAACACTGTAGTGGGAGTGAAAGCAGAGGCTACAGTTAATCAGGTTTATGGAACAGCTGAAGAAGTCCCATCTGAATTAGGAAGGTGATGTTTTACTGTCCACTCTGCTCCATGGTGAATGCAGTAATAGTGTTCTGCTGTCCTAGATAAACTTCCTGCTGCATTCTATTTGCTCGTTTGTTTTTTAATGCAAAATAAGAAAGATAAAGTTTATTGTCTGTTGTCAAAGTGACATTTAAACATGTCTGATTTCCTTCAGCTCAATGTGGACGAGGTCACTCAGCAGTACAATGAATGAATATTCACATTTTTTCCCAAAGGTCCATACGTCACTGTTAGTGTGGCAGGGTGGAGAAACGGCTACCCGGACGGGATTCGATCCCCAGACTCCCGGGTGAGAGTTATGCGCGCTTACCAGTCAGCCAAAGGGACATCTCCTTGGCCAAGTAGCCAGGGTGCATGATCAATCGGGTCACAGTGACAGGATACTCACACTGTCACATTAGCATTTGTAACATTCTTACGCTTCTTGAGAGTTATACATTCACCGGCTTCTGAAACACTTTTTATGAAAAACTTTCTGGTGGAAGAGAACGTCTTTATCCTAAGGCTGAGATAAGTTTGCTGCACTCCCAACATGTTTATGTTTATGTTTATGTATTTAGCAGATGCTTTTGTCTAGAGCGACTTACAAGTGATAATCGGCATGTTGCCCTTGAGGCTAACAACAACAATAACAACAACAACCAATTTCTAGTCAGTCGTAGGTGGCAGTGAGGCAGCATGATGAATCATGGAGAGGAGGGAACAAGGAGTGGACAGTAGAGAGGGGGACGGGGGACGGATATACAACTAAGGTTTGGTTTTAAACGTTTAAATATTGTCTATGATGCATCTACGCTCTTTATGAAGACAACCACTGTCTCAGGTCCTCCATCAGCGCTCCCACTGCCTTTGTATTAGTCAATATTAGGAAAACTAGCCTAGGTTTTCCTAAATCTTCTTTTAAATAATCTAATTTGTTTCTATCATATGCTGAAATATAAATACAATAATTTCATGTTGCTTTTAATGATGTTATTAAAAATTAAGTTAATTGACATAGTTGATATCAACAGGCCCTTCGTTTTTAAGAGTTCTGTGTGCTGTTCATCTACTTCTGTTCCACATTATAACTGATGGCAGGGTTTGAGGTGGGTTTTTCTTCTCCCCCTGGCTGTCAACCTCTAGAAGTCAGTGGGATTAAAGCCTGGGAAGGTTCCAGGTCTCTGAACGACCTAAAATGTAATACTTTGCTTCTGGATCTATGTAGATATTCCTTTAGTCTTATGGCACAGAACTCAATCATACTGGACAAGACATTATTTTTTTTAACCCTAAACTGTTGGTGGATGATTGGGAGGAGTTCCTCTCAGAGGATGCTTAGGTACCATCATTTATTCATGGCTATTCTGAGACTCAACTGGGAGGGAG